ACAGTCGACCCTCCTCCGCAAGTACCCACCAAAGAGAATTTCGAAACCTTTGGTTATCCAAGCATGCCTTTGTCATCCATTTATACCAGCGCCGCGAGAAAAGTGGATGTGTTTGCCGGATTTGAAACAGCGATCTACTGTCTCAAGTGGGATATGTGTCCAAGCTATCCAGACTCTACTTGGCAGACCGGCCAAGACGAAGTACCACCGCACCATCCAACCATGGCGGTGTTTATAGTGTCGCCTGCACTCTCGCAACCGATGTCTTGGCACGCACAAATCTCAATTTGTAAAAACTCCTTGCCAAAATTCTAAATTCCAGGCCCGTCGAGACTGTATCCATCCTCTGCATCATCCTATCAACTTGTCCTGAATCCTCTCACGTCCATCCCAAAGAACCATCTCCTAGATTTGTGCGCCACGCTTTGCTTCCTCCGTCGGGTATAAATATCGGCGTGGGCGTGTATTTGGCGACCAGCTAAGGCCAGAGAAAGTCGACAATAGGTGTGGTCATTGGAATGAGGATGTACTAGGTCGTACTTGTAGACTTGATGAGGCTTAGGTAGGAATCGATTTCGTTGGGAGTGAAAGATTGATATGGTGGAGTATTTTGAATCATTGCCTCGTGGGCCAACTTCTTTGATATTGAGAAATTTGACTGAACTTAGCTCTGGGAGAATGTTTCACTCCCAGGTTCGTAGAGGACACCGCGTACAGGTGTTCAGTCTTGCCCTCCGTTTCCTTATTTGTTGCAACCCTGTATTTGTATGGCCAAGTTGGACATCTCTTTAGATAGCAAGGCTAATGACGTAATAATGATGAATGTCCGTGCGACAGTCACTAGGAGATAGGCGCAGACTGTAACAAATAGTACGTTTTTGCATTTGAGTTTTGCATTTTAATTCAATTAACCCTATCAAGCACCCTATGGGCCCATGCAGGTGACTATCTTCATTATTTACAGAGGAAACCAATTTGGTGAAAACCCCCTGATTCTGTCTGTTTATATTATTATCAATTGGGTTAGTTTACCTTCCGGAAGTGCAATGTACACTGTTCAGCTAGTGTGGATTCCGTCCTTTCTCCTTCCAAATCGTTTTTGTGACAGAAACCGAGCTGGTTGTGAATAAATCGATTTATTAAACTATATGAGGAGAAAAGAGAACTCTAGCTACGACTAACAGGTATTTATAAGAGTTGGTCCCCTTCGTCAATCTCCAGACTGATGACTTATCCTTAGGCACAATACTTGCTACCCAGCCATGCATTGCCAGGTGTTACTTTGTTGTAGTAACGCTTCGACCTCCTGACTAGTAGTGCCTCCTAGTTGTAAATATTCCCAACAATCCGCTTAGGTATTCACCCTAGCTCAAATTACGGTCAAACCGTAAAAGTTTTATTCTATCCGAAATTGCTACCTCGACTTCCCCTGCAAGTCGAAACTGTTTTATCCACCCTCTGCTTAGTATCCACTGTGTGATTCTAGCCACATCTTCAGGGCCGTTCGTCATGGCTTCAAATGAACTATCTTAAGTTCGTCGGAGAAAGTCGCCTCTTCCATTTGCCCACTGCAGACATACCAACACCATGTGCTTGACGTTTTGCGACGGATATCCACATTGACAGCTTGGCTTTTCTATTTCGGGTACTTTTCTTCTGCACAGGTAAGAATTATGTGCGATATACTTGCTTCTTATCTGAATGGCGACACTGCTTTAGGCCCTCGTCAGGTTACGGTGGATTTTTAAGGGTGTATCTTTGAAGTCCATTTTGGTGCTACCTATTTGTTCACCAGTAAATATATTTGCCGCTTTCCAATATTCTGGATCGGCTGATGTTGGTCGGACAGGGCGCTGTCTCCTGTTCTAGCTTGTCCATGAATCCTTCCACTCCTGAAAGGCCGCTAATTTTCCAGCTTCTTTTTTTTCCTTACGCAAGTTCTTGTCCATTCGGCGATATCTTTACTCTTGGTCAATGTGTGCGGAGTTTCTCTCCCGTTTGCAGGCAGCTTTATTCTCTTACATGTCAATCGGATTATCTCTTGTACTGGGAGTTTAGCTGATAGTCCGGTGTGCTTGATCCTCATTTGTTTTAGATATATCTCTGTAGAGAGGACGGAAGATTCGTGCTCTAGCACTCTGTTGCTAGTAGATTTGTGGGCACCTGCTACAAGCTTTAAGCATTTTCTTTGAATACTTCTGAGGGGTTTCACTATACCAGGATAGTGAATTCAAATTCAAAAAACACCAACCCTCCATTTCTAGACAATTGTGTTACTATGACAACTAGACCCCCCAACTACAGCTTAGGCATGCTTTCTCTCTTTTGTCGAGGGCCGTGATTGGAACCATAATAGTGAATTGAATGAATTGAATGAATTGAATGAATTGAATGAATTGAATGAATTGAATGAATTGAATGAATTGAATGAATTGAATGAATTGAATGAATTGAATGAATTGAATGAATTGAATGAATTGAATGAATTGAATGAATTGAATGAATTGAATGAATTGAATGAATTGAATGAATTGAATGAATTGAATGAATTGAATGAATTTAATTGTATTCATTATCTTGATTTAGCGCCATATGGGCCCATGCAGGTAGCTACAAACCTATCTATATATTTATATAGGAGGAAACCAATCAAGCTTTTTGATTTAATTCCTGGAGTGTGCAATTTCCCCTTCAGGAAGTACATTTACATTGTAACGCCATCGATGTGTACCAATCGCGTCCCTTCTATCGACCCCAACCTTGTACATGTTCCGTCTCATTCTCTGAGCAGCATTTCGGCTGCATTTGTCATGCGAAATTGTTCTATCCAACCATGATTAAGAACCCATCGTGTGATTCTTTTCATATCGTTTGGATTGTTGGTCATTGCTTCAAAGGAGCGATTTCGGGCTTGTCTCCAGATTTCTCCTCTACCACTTGACCACTTAGGGCAGGACATGATCATGTGCTTGGGATTTTGTGATTGGTAGCCAAACGGACAACTTGGATGATAAACTCCTGGTACTTTTATTCTGCGTAAATAAGAATTGAGCCCAATGTGCTCGCTTCGAATTTGGATTGTTAAACTACTTTGGGCCCTCGTGAGGTTTTTGTGGAGAGAAAATGGTGACTCTCGGAAGCTTATTTTAGTACGTCCAGAATGGCGGCATTGGCAGAACTTTGCTGCTGCCCAAGTTTTAGGATTAAATTGTATTTGTTTATAGTCCTATGAAGTCTATAACTGTGTAAGGACATTTAGGTTCGTTCTGCTTAAAGGGCGGGAGTATCTATCCCTCGGGTAGGGTACTCCCTCCTTTGCCTCCCTCACGACTTCTTTCCAGCAGTAATACCCCCACAGGTCTTCATTCGAGTACACACTAAGAGGAGCCGTTATCCCGTCATTATCTCCCCTATCCAGCGAACGGATCAATGGCCGTTTGCAGGTGTGTAGCTGCAGAGAAAAGTCTCAAAATCCACTGGGTGCGGAGCTCTCCTATGACGAAGAGGCCGGCCAGCCGGGCGCAGCAGACCTGTGTATACCTAAGACTGTCTCGCAACCTTCCTAGCCTACTCCTTAATCCTCCCTTGATTTATTGCGCGGGACAAACCGCAGGTCGTGAAAGGATGTCAGAAAGGTCTTGGTCGAGAGTGACTGTCGTGAAGGAGCCTTGCCTAGAATCCACAAGTTGTTATGGACGTAGGGTCGTGGAGTAACTCATGCATTTCATGTATTTCAGATGCCCTCCTGGCTAGTATGCTCGGAAGTTAAGATTAGTAGGAATGATATGATAGACGAGACGAAATCTGCTTTCCTTGAGGGCGGAAGGGTCTTTTACTTTGCTTTCGTGGGCTTTTTGTTCGCCCACCAGTGGATGGCACATGTTGCAATGTAACGAGGGCTTCTCTGCCTACCGTTGTAGCGTTTGGCACCGCAGTATCTTTCCTCATTCCCAGCATCATTATCTTCGTCTCGGTCGTCTTATAAGTTATCGGAAGCGTATCTTTGACGTAGGGGGAGATAACTCAGCTCAAAGTTGAAAAGGTGTTACTCGATCTCGGCTCTGCAGTCTCTACAGTTAGAGCAGGAGGTTCGAAGGGGACATTACTGACAAGTATTGAGAAAAGTCCCCCGAAGCTAAGTAAAGAACCTTATTGATTCAGTTGCAGTACGAGATTGAGTCAATTACTTGTACACGATTAGCTGAACCTCTTATACTTGATACATGTGATTCATAAACAGGGCTCTTCTCTTCAGCTTTGATACTTTTTAAACTTTGATTTCTTGTTTGCCATTGTGAGGGGATGATTGTAGTACTGTTTGAGGGGGTTTTAATCGGAGGAATAGGCGGGGATATACTACTAGACAGGTATACCTGGTCTGTAGGCAGAAAGGAACGGCATATCCTACATATCCTTAGACTGAGAAATTAAAGTAAATTTATAATGAATCTTCATGTTGCCAACAGTGAGTATCTTTGAATTGGCACTATCTTCGTAGGAATGATTTATCTAGCTGGAGTTATTTGGAGTCAATGGCTTTTGCATGGCATTGGCTTTGATTAATTCTCTTGATTTGTAGATTCTTATATTCGGATAATAATTTGTCCGAATATGAGTTAGATAGAAATTCCATGGTATCATATCAGGCAAACCCGAATTGATATGAATGCCCATTTCTTCTGAACGATAGTTTTAACTACTTACACAAGTGCTCTCATGGCTTTAAGTGAACTAACAGACTTTTAGTGTATGCCAAAGGTCATACCAACAATCATTTATCAATATAGTTTTAGGCTATTCGAATAATTTATCTATGATTAATAGAGATTTACCTATTCTTTCGAGTTTCCCACTTCTAGTAATATTGCTATTTAACCTTGACGAGTTATACAGAGTGTAACAAGCCTTCGCTTGATTATAAAGCAGTTAAGATAGGATTTGTATGCATGATGCATTGAAGTCATAGATAGAATGTTGTGTTAAGACTTATTAAAACAAACCTACTGACTTTTATTTTCTATGGCTCTGAAATTTACCCAATTCCATTCGTCCGTATCGCATTTCCATCCCCAAGATATAGCGTAATGCCTCGCCAGAATTTGCCACTCCTCTACCTCGTCAAGGCCTTCTAGTTGTTGTAACCTTTCCTTTTCAGTAAATGGAACCCATTCTTCCCAAATATTTTCAATGGTTTCTGCTTTGCATCCTGTTTTTGGGCAGTTGTCCTTGAAACCAAATTCTGATAGTCGCTCTCTCTGGTCTGAGAGGGACTTGTAGAATGTAAGGGAAGGCATGAAGATATTCCTGGCCGCAAGATTCTTGACCATCATCTTCCCAAATGAGTCATCCGAGCCCAGTGGCTCATAAAGAATGATCCCTATAGATGGAATATTCTCCATGAACCATTTGATAACTCTACTAGACTGACTGATATCCATGTAGCAAAGACAACATTCAGATATTATTAGCGTAGGGATATCAGAGCAGAGTCCAGAAACTTTTGTGAATGGCAGTTTTGACATTTCGCGAAGATCTAACGGGTGAAAGTAATAAAGTACTTGCTGCAAAGTGCCTTCACCTTGTAGAATTCCCCACTCATTTTCTTCGGATTTATTTTCAGATTCAAATGGCACAGGTGGTGAATATACACAATCAGAGGGCTGGAGGAAGGCTGAATTAGTTGTCACGATTTGTTTTTTTATCCTTGATACTGACGGAAAGTCAAATTCGTGGTAGATCAGTTCTAAATGTTGATTCTTATCTCTTAATCTGAAATACCTGGTATCAGTTCCGGCGCCTAGAGAAATAATTTGTTTCCTTTTTTTAGGTAGAGTTGTATCATGAGGGGAGAGAAATGCTTCAATTAGCGTGTCAAGAGCAGTTGTACGCGTGTATGTTCCTGTGCTTTTGATAAGTAAAAGCTAACCATGCCAAATCGATAAGGGTTGTGAAGAAACAAACCGCGGTTTATAACAGGAAGTCTCCTGATATTTGGCCCTTTTACAAATGATGAAGCATACTGATCAGTTAAGTATCCGAGCGAAACAGCGCTCAACCGTGACACAGCTGCATCTGTATCTGTGCCTTGAATATCAAGATCATTATTCTGCGATGCATCACCAGCGCCTGTCCTTCGCTTTGCATGACTGTGAGGACGAGATTTTCCGCGAAGACTGAGAAGATTAGGGATTTGAGATGCTGGCATTGTACTCCTGTCCTGCATGCTAAGATTTAGGCCGATGGTTTCCTTCAGCCACCACAAACCACGTCTTGTCGGACTAGCTATGCATGATAACATGATTCAGGCATAATTATTGTCTTTCAAGCACCCGGTTAGCCAAGCTAGCGCCTATTCATCAGGGGACAGATTAATTTCCTTCAATCATATATTATGTATAAATCTATCTAGCTGTAACACATTATTACGATATATGCAAATTTTGGATGACTGCATCGATTTAATTGACATCCATCCTCTGGATTTCCTTCGCAAACACCACAATGAGGTATGTTTGCTCACACAAATAGTCAACTATCCTTCACGACTACCAGCCAAAGGGACTTTTCAAACCCTTTGATTATCCAAGCATGTCTTTGTCATCCATGCGCCCCAGCACCGCGAGAAATTTGGTTGTGTTTTGCCGGATTTGAACCAGCAATCTCCTGTCTCAAGTAAGATATATGTCCAAGTTATCCGGAATCTACTCGGGGGACTAACCCAGATGATATATCACCACACCATCTGATAATGGCGGTGTTTAAAGTATCGCCTGCACACTCGCGATCGAAGGCCTGGCGCGTGTAATGCCCTTCAATATGTAGAGCTCTTACCAAAATGCAATATCTCCACCTCTCAGAGAATGTATCTACAATTTGAACTATCAAGTCTCCTTTTCCCGATCTGTCTCATGCCAATCTCAAAAATCTGCGTTCCAGACGTGTGCACCACTATTTATCTCCTCAAGCAGGTATTCAGATTCTCATGGGCGTATATTTGATGGCCAGTTGAGACCAAAGAATAGGTTATATAGTCATTGAAAATATGATGCATCAGGTCCCCCCTGATGGACTAAGAAAGCCTTTGGTGGAGATCGATACCATTGAAAGTGAGATGTTGATTTGGTTGGGAGTAATGTATTATTGTCTGGTGGTCCAACTCTTTGGTACTGCGAAATTTAATTTAAATTAATTCAAGGACAATACTTTACTCCCAGCTCCGTAGAAAACACCGCGGATAGTTCAGTCTTTAGCCTCCGACCACAAACCTAGTATCCCTTCAAACAAATACACAACCCTACCGCGACGTGCTTGCCCTAGGAACCCCGCCATTCCCTGATTTACCACCACGTGAGAACCACATCGATGGGCCCTAGCATTGGTCTGCTATCAACCGCTCTAACCGAGCAAAGTTTCCAGTGCCGATGCTTTGCTTAGTTTGGTAGTCATATGAGAAAAATAACTACTGCAATGTTCCGCGCAGTACAAATTGGCAGAAGAAGGTGTAAATTTACTCCATCACGGTATGTACAGATTGAACCTCCTACAACTCCATGAATGCTTTCGACCGTTATGGCTGCTCAAGAGGATACAGCTGAATGAAATGCACATCACTCGCCGGACCCAATACATACGCACTTCTGCATAGCGCTCAGATAATGGTTAAGCACCTGAACATAATTTAACATAGCATTTCTCTCATAACCCTTTAATTCTCGCTTATCGGTCAACGATTACTACAGAGAGGCAGAATTCCAGTCATCTTAAATTTATTTGCCCGAGCAATGGCTCTCAGTATTCCAATTGCCTTGGGTCCATGCTACAATTATAAAACATCGCCAACAATCAGCAAATTCAAAAGGTCCATGTGTGATTATCTAGGTGACTTGAATGCCGAATTCGATGTAATTTGTACCGGTGCATTTATATTTGACCATCAAGATCGTATCCTTCTTATTCAACGGGCCGCTACTGATACTTGGCCAAATTTCTGGGAGGTACCAGGTGGAGCTTGTGAAGTATCTGACTCAACCATACTTGATAGTCTAGTCAGAGAAGTGTGGGAAGAGACTGGACTGACAGTAACAGGGATCTTCAGTGCGGTCAATGATGGGGGTAAAATGATATCTTCACGCAAAAAATTACGAATTCTGAAGTATGAATTTGAAGTCGAGGTCGAGTGTACGGATTTGATACGGCTTAATCCTGCAGAACATCAGACATTTAAGTGGGTGACGGCAGAAGATTGCGAATTAGCACATCACGGAGGTGGAAATTCCCCGTCCAGGGTCCAGTTTACATCTGAATACCAAGCATCGACAGTTCTTGAATCGTTTCGGCAGAGGAAAGAAAGAAAATCAACAACGTTCAACTAGAGTTCAAAGTAACTTTAGGGTAGCCATTGTTATTCACACTGAAAGCTCTGGTCAACAGCCCTGTGATGATTCAAAGCAAGTATTTTCGATTTCTTTTCCGCCGCCATATACTCCTAACCCGAAATTCTCATCCACTCAACTCTATCCGATACAAAATATGATGTACCTAAATCATAGGGCTCTATATCTATTAGAAATTATTCTCTGTGGATGTTTGAAAATAGCTGAAAACACTGTAGCTCCACTCTAGCTGACGATGAATAGCACAAAGCTTTGAGTAATTATCACCATTTGATCATCGTTAATCTCAGGTTTAGAATTAGATACTGCAAAATCTGATGAATTTATATCTCTCCCTAGCTGATAAACCGAACGCCGAGTATACCTAGTGAAAATACATGTCGGGTTACACTTATCCTGTCATTACTAAATATTTCGACAAAATGCGAGTGTTAGTCGCAAGTCTGTATCATGTTATACCTCTCCATAGTCTTGCTATCAAGACATAGGTAAAAATAATACATCCTGCTAGAAGCAATTTGTTCCTTCCGACCCATCCCCGCCCCTCACCCACAACAACTTGATTTCTACCAGACCTTTGTAAGCTTGTAGAGGTGCTTTCAGATGTTGAAGACTTGCTAGCTGGATCGGCGATGGTATTTCCAGTTAGCGGATCAATCTTTTTTTCTCTTAACCAATTCCAATTTTCCTGGTCTACATCAGGCCACTCTGTTCGGAATTTAGCTCCCCCATCACCTGCTTTAACATTACCCTTTTGAACTATTTTCCCATCTTTTAAACTACCTCCTCCTGTACTATTCCACCAGCGTGTTCGACTAGCTGCCCACTTTCGCTCAGCTTCTGTAGCACCTACCGATCCAGTGGTCATTTCCTCAGAGGTCATGAAGGAAAGTAGGCCAATTAGAATAGTAGAAACTTCCCAGGCGGGATTAAATGATTTAGGATGAAAGTCGGAGATGGAGAGACAGAGACGGGTGGAGGGCTGGAAACGTCCGCTTGGAGTGTGCATTCGTATAGCAGGCGGCGCAAAGGGGTAATTCGATGGAAATATAAGCGTCCCCCAGTACTGGCCATCTTGATATGGTGTATCAGGAGGTCCAGTGAGTATGTAGTGCCATCTGTAGAAGGTTAGCCAAAGTCTAGGAAAGGTGTGGTGTGAAACACTCTAGGATATTGGCTTCTGATGGATGAGCAACAATGAAAGGAGGAGGATTTTGAGAAATGGCTTGATATTCGCGGGTGAGCTGCAAAGTGTCATCAGGATGTTCCTACGGGAAGATTTTGTGTTTATTACTCGTTTGTTTGCAGCTCGACTTGCCATGATTCACAATTATCAATTTTTGAATAGACAGCAGTAATCTAGGGTAAGCAATCTTCTAATCTCAGGGAAATGTTTTGCGAAGAACAGGTCTCAAACAGCAAATGATATCTCCTACAATACCGTCTTCTTAACTTCTCTCACCCGTGACGAATGAAACGACTAGCCATACCTATTTATTGCCTGAGGCACCCAAATATTTTACGAATTCAATGTGGCGGCAATCCATCCAATGTCGATGGCGACCAATCTGAAATTTGACAAGGATTAGGGTTATCATGGCAGCTGGTACAGTAATGGCTGAAGAAGACGTAAGTTATCCCTTCCAATAAGGCAAGCCTAAGATAATTTTCTAACATACTTTCTATATTAGCTCTTTGGAAGCCTGCGGAGGCAATCGGATCCAGAAAAGTTAGAGAAGCAGGCCAAAGCTGTCGCAGAACGAGAAGCTTCGTGCAGTGCCAAAGCTGAGGAACGGCTAAAATACTTGGTACGGCATCATGTAATGCTTCTCAACTGCAAACTCTAATAATCACAGCTTGATGACAATTCAACCCTTCCCATTTCAGTGTCCTCTATCCAACTTGTCGGCGCATCGCATACACGACGCTCGTTTTTAGATAAGCTTTTTACGCCTCTCCTAAGCTGCAATAGAGATGCTCCGTACACGCTATCTACAGCGTTGCATGAAATTGGAATTTTATCAGACAAACTGTCGCGTTTTGGTAGCCATGTTGAAAGATTCCAATTATTCCCTGTCTAATCTCGATAGGAATCTTTCAACCCGAAATATCCACATTTCTAGACCGATCTGACCTGGGTCCTGCATCTTCGCCACTCACTCATATCGATATCTACTTGAAGGCCCGGGAGCGAGGACGGCTAAGTCTCAAAACGGGTACCGATCTTGGGAATGCTGAAGGCTCGGCCTATGGAAACTTGACGTGGCGAAACGTTTTTGGTGGGGCAGAATCATTGAATCTAAACGCCTCAGCTGGTACACGAACACGATCAGCATATCAAGCCACCTTTGACAGTCCATTATTCAGCGATCCAGACCAGCAATTTTCCCTTAATGTATTAGCATCTAGCACACACAAGCCATGGGCTAGTCACGAAGAAGTTCTTAAAGAAATTTGCGCTAAGTACAGCTGGGCATCAAATTACGGGACCCGCCACCAACTAGGATATACTGGTGCGTGGCGGCAGATCACTAGCCTGGCTGCTGAAGCCTCGCCGACACTCCGTTGTGAAGCTGGTGATTCAGTAAAGAGCAGCATAACACACACCATCGTGAAAGATAATCGTGATAATCATTTACTACCAACCCGTGGCTACTATTTAAAAATGCTCACAGAAATAGCTGGATGGGGGCCACTTCAAGGTGATGTCGCATTTTGGAAGTCTGAAATTGAATCTACTGGCGCACTTTTACTCCCAGTCCCAGGGAAAATGAGTGATATCGGTATAACGCTTACTGGTGGGCTTCGCGCCGGGCTCCTCTATCCATTGCCTGTTGGATTTGGTAAGGAAGCCATCAAAACCCGCATAAATGACCGCTTCCAGCTTGGTGGCCCAACAGATGTAAGAGGCTTTAAGCTGTCAGGTTTAGGACCTCAGGATGGGGAAGATAGTGTTGGAGGCGACGTATATGCCGCCGCATCAACAAATCTCTTATTTCCATTGCCTCGTGCCGGAAAAGATTCACCTCTCCGACTCCAGGTTTTTGCAAATGCTGGTAGACTCCTGGCCCTTTCAGACAGCGCATCAAAAGATAAATTAGGCCAGAAAAATGTTTGTAGAGACGTACGTGATACTCTAGCAGAACTAGGAAACGGACTGCCTAGTATTGCAGCTGGCGTGGGGATGGTATATGCGCATCCAGTTGCAAGGTTTGAGCTTAACTTCAGCTTGCCACTAGTTGCACGGAAGGGGGAAAAAGGAAGGAAAGGCCTTCAGTTTGGTGTAGGTATCAACTTTCTCTAGGCTGTGAAATCTTTGTATTCGTTCATAAATAGCTGTAATATTTACCTTCAGTTTCTCTACCCGATCACAAGGACACTTTTATCTTCGTTTTCTTTTTGTCAATATGTCTCAATTTTATAATTTTTTTCGATCCAGACTTAACTTGATGTAAAATACTGGCAAGGCACACTGCGCGGCCATGTGACACTTGGCGCAGCTCAATAACTCACTCCCAACGTGTTCGCAACTATTTTTGCAACGACGATCAAGGCTGAACTCTTGTTAGTGGTATCTTCCGAGAGAATTGCAAGGGTGAATTCTCTTACGACCGAGAAGAGATCACGAAAAGAGGTAAGAACAGTAAGGCTTGATAAAAGTCTGCTCGAAGGAGCAGTGTTTGTTTACATGGTGGCGAAAATCGGCCAACAATGAATTTAAGGCCCCAAACTAGCCGCGTGCCATGTAAGCGGGCCTCGTATTGTGACCACGGATATGGCTCAAAAACTTCGATGATCGCGACAACCTTAGCACGGCGAATTCCAAGGCCGTGGCGCAGACCAGTTCGATTTCAATACCTACCAGAGACCATGCCGTCGGAAAAGCCTACGATTGAGGGTCGAAGGTGTGGAAAAATTATACGGAAGATATACCTATATAATCATGCTTTTGCAGCGGGGCTTGGATCCCCACAACATGACGAGGAAGTGCTAGTTTAAGATAGGTTTAGGGCCGTAAGCATAGTAGATGGTCTGATGAGTGGCACCCGATACTGTGAAGTACACTGCGCTACTATGGGGTGAAAGATAGTTCTATCTAGGACTAGACTGGGCGTGGTGCAACATACGCGTGGAACTCGAAGTGGGATGAGTCTTACTGCATATTATATACATGACAATTAGTATATCCCATGAAAAAACCCGAGAATCGAGTGATATGAATTACTTAGTGCATAGATCTAAATATCAAAAAATACCGAAAGTCGATATCAATTACTTGACTCCTTACAATGGAAGGAAATCGATGTGACTTGTGCCGACAGGACCAGGTGGTAATGTAATGGTTTACGATCAAAGATGCGACGATGATACTAAAGCTCGAAGACTCAAAACTTCTCAACCGTATTCTCTATAAGTCTCACTCTCACCGTCATCGGCAGAGCCGTGATTGAGCTCCACATTGGACAGAAAGGCGTCTATCCTCGACGAATCTGCGCAATCTCTGCCACCAGATATTCTGCAAAAGAGTCGGTTCAAATCACTTTACATCGCATGTTCTTTATTGAAACTGTTCAGGCATTTCAAACAGCTTACGCGGAGTGGTGTTAGTTGGGGGCGGCTATGGAGGAGGCGTAAGAGAAAATAAAGAGGGTTTTTTTTGTACTACTTGAGTCCTAGACTATCTAGAAAATTGGGCTCCTTTCTGACCCAGGCCACACCTTGTACAGTGCTCTTATCCGCTTTTGTTACCTCAAAGATCATTGATATATTTCCTTAGATGAATAGCCATTCAGCTCAATGTTTACCCGTAGAATTCGGCCACCTTTTCCACGGAACCTTCTACCCAAATAAATAAAAATAAAAATGGTAGCAATGGAAACTGCGTGCGCGGGAAAAAGTCTCAAAAAACCTGCAGCCCCAGCCAGGCGAGGCCTAGATACCGGGTCCACATGAGGTGCGCATATTCATCTATATCTCCCTTTTTTGTTACATTTAAGGCCGACTTGATCCAACCCACCATCTCCGTATCGGGTGCTGGGTACGCTCCGCAAACTAATCGGATGGCTTCTCCTCCATGATCAAGGGTTGGTGGTGAGTAGGGTTCCGACCTTACCATCTGATCTGATCGTGGTTAGCTTCATGATAATGGTGATAGGGGAATGTGTTGAGAGATGAAGACGATACAGACCACGAAAGCGATTGGAAATCCTCATCGAAGTGAGGACTTTGTTACTCAATCTCGGCTCTGTAGACTCTACAGTGAGAGCTTGAAGCTCGAGAGGGACAACACTAACAGGTGTTGAGAAAAGCCCCCCTGGGCGTCGTGTATTTAAGTTATGAATGAATATTTATTCGTGGCGGATACAAGCATAGCACTCAAAGAGCATGATATGGAGAAGGCCAGTTTTTCCCCGACGACTATATACAACGACGATTTAGTTTGCCATTTGGACTACTCATGTAGTGGGTGCATTTGCTGATACCACTCGAGACCTTGGTGCTAGGGACTTTCACCTTCCCCTTAACAGTGAATATCCACCAAAGTGAAAACAGTAAAAGCCTTTGGCTACCGTGACATGTTATTGCTATCTTGTCTATAGCCACTGCATGAGATATAGCCTTACAGTCCTCCCTTTCTCGAGTGAGGTGGGCGTCCGGGCAGCCCATACTTTAATTAGGGGGGACGACAACCAGGAGGCGGACCACAGCACCTTACATCGTTGCCTATTTTTAAAGAGATGACCGCACTATCAGAAATCGTAACCTCGACGCTCGCAAGCACCCTAAGGTCGAAACTCCTGAAAAATATGCGTCCAATTATGCCCATTTGCGACCTCTTCACTCGCTCGTCCCACGTTCCAGCTGCCTGTCCCCTCTCGAGATGTGATGCCCGTTTCTAAGAATCAGTCTTCCATCGCCCAAGACCCTAGCTTTATCTATTATAACATGGTTTCCTCCTCGCGAGCGTACACAGCATCCTAAATTCGTAGTGGAAAATGGACGATTTTTGATGAGGCAAATTTCCGTTTGCAATTGGAGTAATACTTTTGTCGGTAGTTAAGACGATTGGTGTAGTAAGATTGAAGCAGAGGACTCGCATGAGAATGATAGATCCGACATTTACGAGAAGTCGTTGATTTGAGAAGTGCTTGGGATTACTTTTGAATTCGACTCGAATGCGATTCTTCTTGGCTATCCCAGATATACGGATCATACTGAGCGATTACACCGGCACCACTGGAAGGTAAAGAATTATTCTTTGTCGGCATTGTTTCTTGCGAAGATCACAATGATTCTTGCGGATCAAGTGCAACCTTAGATGATTGTTCTCATGCTGATAAGTGGATACTCATTATCGCCAACGATTGGAATTTGGCTGAATGACACTAGTCTTAAAAGAGCTAGGAAATGAAACATAAGCGATTCCCACATTCCAAATTATCAAGGAAGAAGCAACACGCTAACAACTAACTTTGAACAGCAACAACTTACAGTCACCTTCACCCGGTGTGACTATCGACTACAAAAAACAATTGAAATAAGTAGTAGACAGGATGCGCACTTACGACGACTCTTTCTCCGGTCAGAAGATCTACCCTGGAAAGGTATAGCCTTCTAGAACCGAGACTATTCAAGCCTTAAACAAATATCCTAGTTGATTAAAAGCTGACAAAATCTTCTTCAGGGTAAACTCTACGTCCGCGGCGACAGCAAGATATTCCGATTCCAAAACGGCAAAACTGAATCTCTATTTCTCCAGCGCAAGAATCCCCGTCGTATTGCTTGGACAATTCTCTTCCGAAGGCAACACAAGAAAGGTATTTCTGAGGTATGACACAAATTTAGCCTCGGCTATAATCTATCGCAAGGAAAATGTATGCAACAGAATAAGGCTGATATATATGTACTTGCAGGAAGTTGCCAAGAAAAGATCTCGCCGCACCATCAAATCTCAGCGAGCTATCGTTGGCGCCTCTCTAGATGTAATTAAGGAGAAGCGAAACCAGAGACCAGAGGTCCGAACTGCCGCACGCGCAGCTGCCATTAAGGAAGGTAAAGATAAGAGAGCTGCTGCTGCTAGCGCCAAGAAGGCAGAGAAAGCCAAGCTGGCAAGTGCTTCAGCTAAAGGTCAGACTTCAAGGTTACAGAGCAAACAGGGCGCAAAAGGTGCACCCAAGAAAATCCAAGCAACCACACGATAGGGAGTATGAAAAATTATGACATTCAAATAGACCACGGGAAAGACAGTGCTGGGAAAAGTACAAATGTGCTCAAATTACCGGGGAATCTCGATACTACAGCTGACTCATTGACATTTCCGGTCTGAGCTTCAGGATTTAATTAATACTGATACGTGTATGAGGCACGTGAACAATACCCAGAAAGTTCACGAGAATTTCCTCGTATAAAATGGCTGTAAACAAATAGACGTGACTTTATAGCTCAAAGTGACGTCCCGATTATCAAAGTGTCTCTCATGTTCAATCGCCGAATAATTAAACTAAAGGAATTTGTGCTGTCGCCTGATTCTCTCAATTAATGAAAAGGCAAAGATTCCCAATGTCTATGTTAGCAAAAATTGAAGTACTCCATGAAACTTTTCACATAAACATATCGGCCATTTCTCAAATATTGTAATCAATAAGAAATAAAGATTTATCTGAAAAATATATTCAAGACAGGCTCGCATCGACCCAAATAATATAGTTATTCAAAACTATTCATCTTATGTTTGGCAGATTCATACATGGTCAATGATGCTTTGAAAGTTATAAAATTAGCCACAGATTATTCATTCCTGATTTATCCGTTATTCCGACATCTTCTATTAGGCCTTTCATGCTACCATGATCTATACAACTATCATATTTTATTTAACTGGGTGAGTTTCTTTTAAGACATATACACATTTTGTAGGAAGGGCTATGGTAACGTAGAGGAAGATATCACCCGCTAAGTTTTACACTGATATGTACGGACTGGTCCTACATGAGTTAAATAAGATTCTGATGAAGATTAAATAAAATTCTCCAAGTGAAATGTAAAGACAGAGTTCAGGCAACACTATAACCACCGCCGTGGTCGGATGCCGCGGTGGTATATCGTCTTGGTCGGTCTTCCAAATAGAGTCTGGATAGCTTGGATACATATCCTACTCGAGACAGAAGATCGCTATTTCGAATCCAGCAAAATATAACGACGTTTCTCGCGGTTCTAGTTTGTTTGGATGACGAAGGCATACTTGGATAGTCAAATGATTTGAAATTCCCTTTGTTAGTACTTACGGAGTAGGGTCAATCATCTATTCTGTACTTTTCTTTGTTATTGTATCATAGCTAGATAGCTGCATACGCGATTAAAATCTGATGCAAAAAAAAGGAGGGTCGAACATTTTTGTAAGCAAATATACCTCATTACTACGGGTTGACCGCGTTGTGGCTTAGGCAGGCACCTAAGCAAGATCGAAGGTGGTTACTAATGAAGGGTGGTGATGTATATGGTTGTATACACTTGGTATCTTCAATTAAATAGTTGTGACTACTCAGGGGGCTTAGAATATACTTGGGTGATTATGGCAATAAATGTTACGGGATGCAAATGGTATCTTATTGTGTTATTATGTTATGTTATGTTACAGGTTATGTTCATGATAATTAACCAATCCCACATACTTCCACATAGCGCCGTAGCTAGTCTCTTTTAGGAGTGATCTACGGGTGAGTGTAGCGATTGGTGGTATCTAATTTATCACTAATCTGTTTCCATTTCCCTGGCTCTGCATGTTACACTACGTGGATGACGATTTACTACTAATATGAAAAGCGCATTCATGACACTTCCCCTCGCTTAGCACATCTAATATGGTTGGATAGTCGGTGGTGAGCAGGTTTTGCAAGAGCTTTGGTCAATAAGTCTGCGAGGTTGTTTGTGGATTTGACGTAGAGGAGTTCGAACACTCCTTCTTTTAATTTATCACGAACGTAGTGGTAATGCACGTCAATATGCTTTGATCGTTCGTGGATCCGCGGGTTTCTCGCAAGTTCTTGTGCTCCGTTGTTGTCGGAGTGAAGTACAGTTTCAAACTTTTGGCGCAGCTGAGCTAGTCCATATTTGGTCCAAGTTATTTGGCGAGCAGCAAGCGACATGGCCATATATTCGGCTTCTGTAGTAGATAGTGCTACAGATCGCTGTTGTTTGCTACTCCAGGAGATTGCAGCGTCGCCAAGTCGAATGACATAACCTGATGTAGATCTTCGGGTATGAGGGTTGTCTGCATAGGAAGCATCGGCATAGACTTCGAGATCTTCACAGGCTCCATTTGGGTAGAATAAGTCCCAATTGGTTGTTGCAGCTAAATATCGAAGTGTTCTCTTGGCGGCTTGCAGGTGAGTTTGGTTTGGACAGGACGAAAACTGGCTTGAAAGAGTGACTGTATATGCTAAATCAGGACGACTACCTATGACAAGGTACATTAGCGATCTAACAATGGCTTGATACTCTTTGAAGTTCTCAAGACGTTCCTCTTCAGTTCCTTTGAATAGGGTTACGCTAGGATCAAGGGGTGTGCTAATTTTGTGAGCATTTGTAAAGCCAAAACGTTCTAGGACCCTTTTTGAATATCCTTGTTAGGACAGTCGGATACCTGATGAGTTGGTTGTAATTTCGAGACCTAGTATGTACTTTGCGTCTCCTAAATCTTTGCAATCAAAATCGTTTCCGATCGATGTCTTTAGGTTTTGTCGAAAGTCGTTTGGGGGTCCGAAGATGAGTATGTCGTCTACGTATATAGAAATGAATTTTATTTTCTTTGGGTGCACGAAGACGCAAGGGTCAAATGTTGTTGACTCGAACCCTTTTAATTTGAGGGAATTCGAGATACATTCGTACCATTCTCGGCCGGATTGTTTGGGGCCGTAGATACATTTGCGGAGTTTGGCACATTTTCTGGTTGTACGGTATCCTGGTGGTAATTCCATGAAAGTTTCCTCTTCTAGCATGCCATTGAGGTATGCTGAGTTTTCATCCATCCGTTGAGGGATCCATTTGTTTTGGGCTGAGATTCGGAGTAATATCCTCAGGCTATCATATCGAGAGACAGGTGCAAAGGTTTCATTAAAATAATGGCCAGGAACTTGGCTAAAACCTTGAGCAACTAATCGCGCTTTGTATCTCTCGATAGAGCCGTCGGCATTTCGCTTTATTTTAAAAACCCATTTGGATCCAACAACATTTCTTTTGAGAGTCGATCAGCCACATCCCATGTATGATTTTGAGATGAAGATGTCTATTATTTATCTATAGCTTCACGCCATAGGTTTCCATCTGGTTGTTGAAATACATGTTTTTATTAAAAACTTAGTCCTTGTATTGTGTAATGATCACTTTAAGGAGTTCTAATATAAAACATGGAAGGTAGACTTGTCTATGAAATCAACTCGTTAGAGGTATAAAATAATTATCCATCAAAACGGATCCAACACTCGAGATTTACATCCTGAGTGAGGGTCCGTGCATGCTAACAAAACAACCCAATAAACACGTGATAAACAAGCTAATTGTACAGGGTATCTTGCTCTCCGGTTCTCCTAACTCCTGGCTAATGATGACAACTCAGACCCATAATAAGGGTCATGAGGATCCTGGAATTGCAATGCATTAGACTTATTTCTCAACACTCCCCCTCAAGGCAATTTCCATTACTCATATCCTCCCACTAGTCCAAGCTGGTTTTTGAATCTTTCGAATGCCACTCTTTGAAGAGGTTTTGTCAGTCCATCTGCTATCATCTCGCTTGTGGGTACATAGTCAATTACGAGCTTCCTTTTTTCGGCCAGGTCACGAATGAAATGGAAACAGATGTCGATATGCTTTGATCTCTCGTGCAGGTGAGGGTTCTTGACTAGTGCTAGGGCTCCTTGGTTATCTCCATACATTTGTACTGTCATTTCTTTTACGTTGATAACTTGGGGCATTCCTAAATCGCGGAGGATCTGTGCGGCCCACTGGCCTTGTTTGGCGTACATAGCTTGTGAAATATATTCGGCTTCGGCGCTTGACGTTGCAACAGAGTTTTGTTTTTTTGAGGACCAAGAAATGGGTCCACCATAGTACATGCAGACTCCCCCGGAGATACTCTTCCGGTCCATCTTATCTGTCGCCCAATCCGCGTCAGTGTAAACGGCAAATTGCTGTGAATATGCTCCCCCTGGTCCGAATCGGAGTCTCTGTTTGACTGTTGAACGTAGGTATCGCATGAGGCTCTTGAGAGCTATTCCGTGGTGCACTGCGGGGTCTTTCATGAATTGGGATAGTCGACCAACAACAAAAGCGATATCAGGTCTAGTTAATACCATTGCGTACATTAATTTCCCAATTCCTCTCTGATATTCAGTTGCGTTGATTCGTTCATCTGATCCGTTTGCTGGGCGAAGGTTTTCGTAGTCTGCTGCAGGGATCTTCTTGCTCATGTGTTTTGCATGCGTTATGCCGAATTGATCAAGAGCTGCGGACAGGTACTGTTCTTGGTCAAGGTAAATGGTGCGATTTTTTTGGTCTCTTGTAATTCTTATGCCAAGAATCTTCTCAATCTCCCCCAGATTTTTGGCATTAAATCGTTGAGAGAGCGCTTTGAAAAACCAATTAAGTTTACTGTCATCATTTGCTGCTGCGGCGATGTCATCAACGTACACGAGAATCCAAATATTTCTTTTGTGATGGACGTAGAGACATGGGTCCGCAAGACTTTGTGTGAACCCAATTGATACGAGGAAGCTTTTCAGGAGTAAATTCCAGTCTCTACCGGCTTGTTTAAGTCCGTAAAGGCTGCGAAGGGCTTTAAGTACTTTTCCTTTTGAGACTTCTACTCCTTCTGGTGGCTTAAGATATATTTCTTCTTGCAATGTGGATTCCGTGAAGGCGTTTTTTATGTCGTAATGGTGGCACTTCAAGTCGTATCTAGCCACCATTGCTAGAAATAGGCGAAAAGTGTCCATCCTAACAGTAGGTGCAAACGTCTCGGTGTAGTCGACTCCATATTGTTGACTAAAGCCTCTTGCTACTAAGCGGGCCTTGTAGCGTTCTACAGACCCATCCTTCTTTAATTTGATTGTAAAAACCCATTTTGTCGAGACTGTGTTTGCCCCGTCCGGCAGAATATGTTCTTCCCATGTTCCATTTGAAACTAGTGCATCGATTTCATCTA